CGTTCATCGCTTATCTTCACTACTGTGCTTCCCTCCCACTAGTCTATGCACCTAATACTGGCAGCACTGCTTCATTCTGAGAGTACTTCATGCTCTGATTATTTGCACTCTAGTACTTTTTCACCCGTTTTAACAGTTCCTTTGACTCATTTGTTGATTTCTAAACAAAAATCGTTTTAAGTGAGGGAACATCACCCCAACATTTCAGCGTTCTAGCTTCTCAAATTCCCGAGTTATGAAGTCATGGAAAAAAATTTGGCAGACCATTACGCGGCCAGCTCGCTTAGCTGGGGAATGGGTTTCATTGCATCAGCACCTACTTGGATGGGAAGTTCGCCGCAAAGAATGGTGCTGTTGTATTGACTTGCTTTTCCTTCGCTTCACTGCAAACGGCTAAACTGATGTTTTTTTCTCGCATGCGCATTTCATCTATGCATTTGCTAATCTTCCGTGTCACATCAGGTGAGGCGTGCCGACTCGGCATTCTTCTGGGAAGAACGTGATATCATGGCGCATGCAAATTCCGAATGGATTGTCCGTTTGCATTATGCATTTCAGGATGCACGCTTCTTATACATGGTCATGGAATACATGCCCGGTGGTTCGTGCCCTTTTCCTCTTTCTCTCTTTTTTTTGATATTATTTTTTTATCGCATGTATGATTTTGCAGTTTTTTTAAATATAAAATTATTGGATTCTGGAAACCTAATTATTTTCTATGCTTCAGGTGATTTGGTAAATTTGATGACATCATATGATGTATCGGAAAAATGGGCTCGTTTTTATGCGGCTGAATTGGTGATGGCGTTGGATACACTGCATGGGATGGGCTATATCCATCGTGATGTGAAGCCGGACAATATGCTGATAAGCAAATCAGGGCATGTCAAGCTGGCTGACTTTGGTACATGCCTACGCATGGGTCCGGTAAGCAACTCGCTTATTGCACATTTCGAGATCATAAACGAAGAAAGGATACTTCTGTTGTTCAGCTGAGGAAGAATGAGTTGAATTACTGTTTTATATGAGCTGTTTAAAACTTTATTGATCCTGAATTTCATACTTGTTATTTATTCTCCAGGATGGCTTTGTGAAGTGCATGACAGCAGTTGGAACCCCAGATTACATCAGCCCTGAAGTACTGGAAATGCAAGGCACTGAAGGAGTGTATGGACGTGAAGTTGATTGGTGGGCTGTGGGTATATTCGTGTATGAGATGTTGGTGGGTGAGACCCCATTTTATGCTGATTCACTTGTGGGAACGTATACTCGGATCAGGAACCATGCGACAGAGCTCAAGTTAGTTTCTCGGTTTTTTTAAAAAGTTTATTTAAATTCAAACTAATAGAAAGTAAGCTGCATTTTCGACCATGAACTCATTGTTTTGGCCATTTCATTAAGTTCTATACATTCCCATTCAGGGGCAGCTGGATCTCGTCAGTGTGATGGTTGCAACAGAAGTATTAGAAACATGCAGTAGTGCAGTTAAAGAGATGAGAGGGAAAAAAGTATTGACGCAGTTTTTAACAACACATTCATTTAACAGATTCATATATCAGTTACTGCGTTTGTTAGTGTTCATTTTATTGCTGCTTGAATGCTTTTTCATATTGATCAGCAGATAAAGAGAAATTCTGTTGTTTGTCATGGACTGAATAGAGTCATTTGTCAGTAATAAGGGACTGTAAATTTAAGTGTGAATTATTT